TTATAAAAAATAATTTAAAATTTGCCTTTACAAGGATTTATATGCAGTAAAAAACTTATTAAAACATCAAACTCAAAAAATTAAAAAGTTTTTTATACAAAACAAAAGCTGGACACAACCTATTTACAATTTATAATTAAAAAAAGGTAGACTTGATATTACACCCGGGAAAATTTAAGAAATTACAAAATTTAGTATTTTTGTTAAAAACATTCCTTAAGGTAGTAGAAAGTCTTAATTAAAAACAGTGTGACATGTCCATCTTTTAAAGACTAAAATTCACAAACCCCATCCCTTTTGCACAAATTTCCCATTTCATCTTTTATAAAACTCATCCTGAAAAAAATCTTTATTGGTAAAAAAAAAATATTTAAAAGCTTAAAGCCCCCAGCGGGACCACTTTTACAAAAGAGTCAATTTTGAGCAATATTGTAAAAATAAAAAGTCATAATACATGAGATACATTTAATACAAAGCGTCTTCTTGGTTTTTAAAAAAAAATTTTTTTATGGGGAAGATAATTTTTTTATTGACAGGTCAAAAACTAACAGGGAATATGTTAGAAACAGCTCATACTTTAGATATCAGTGAGAGATAAATTTAAGAAATTTTAACTTCCTTGATATTCAGTGTGTAGTGAAGGATAAACAAGCCAGGTATATTTCTTTATAATTATTTTCTAAATTGTAATATGTATTCACCGGAACTCGGTTACTTCTTCAAAGACGGTGCTGGTTTTGTCAACAGGAATCCTATGATTACTACATTTGTCAAGTCTTTACTATCAATAAAATCTTTAGCATTAGTAAACTGGTTATAATTAAAAGGTTAGTTATCCAGGAATGCCTTTTAGTTTAACAGACCGCCAAAACATGACACAATATATATTTTATACTGTTGGAAAATGTCAAATGCAAAAATGTGTTTGGACACATTTTTTCCCATAGTGTGGGACATTTGTTCGCACATTTTTATAATTTTTTACAGAGAGTCCAAGTTAAGAACACAATGCAATGATCATCGTTTCTGTGTTTTTGTGTTGCTCCTGTTACAAGCTTACTGCATGAAATGTTATGCAGGGTAAATAATGTTTTCAATTTTAACTTTTTTATAGCTTTTTCCATATAAAAATAGCCATATTTGAAATATGTATTATTGGTATGGACATTGTAAGTGTTTTAAGATATTATATGTAAAGCCATGTAACTAAATAATACTCCATATTCTAGATATGAATCTTATCGATCGCATTCGATCCAATGTTAGTAAACCAGTCCCAATCTAGTAATTTTTTTGGGAGACCCTCGCTATATAGCAACTCAAGTAAAGCAATAGACCGGGGAACAAAATTACTCGATAGACATTTGTCAGTGCTGCAGTGTAACAGATGGTAGTTCCGCCGTCATGTGGCAGATTACTAAAAAAATAGAAATTAATTTTTGCGATAAGAAAATTTGACGTGCAATGTATCCAAATCTTTTTCTCCTTTCCATTTAAATTAAAAATATGAAAATATTAAAAAGAGAAAACCCAAAAATGATTTGTTTTTCCTTTTTCTGCTATTAAAAAATTAGGGTTTTCAAAAAACACTTTTTTTTAATATTTTAAACAATCTTGATATATCCTGAAAATAAAAACTCCTGAGGTAAGAAGCGTTTTATTAGTTGAAATTGTATGCCTAATGCCTATTTCGTTTTGTCGTTTCAACATCAGATATCTCCACTTTGCATGTTTTTATTTACGTGAAACTACTGGTGTGTAAATTTATAAACATGATTGTCACTTCCAATTTGATTTACCGTTCAAAAAACCAATATAAAGCTGCTAAGTATTATGTCAAAAGCCATACAATATAACGTCTAACTTGTTGACTTATTTTTTCAACATAGAACATTTGTTATTACTTTGGCACATAACTGACAATTGCTAATTCTGTTAACATTGTGTGTGTCTTTTAAGAAAACTCAATGTGAAAAGTCTAGATTGTAATTTTAAACTTTTTTAGTGTAAAACCTGAATTATACTTTAGGGTATTATCATACTATGATTTTAAAGCAAAGAAACCAAACATCGTTGAAAATGACAAAGAATTATGGAAGCATGTGGTTATAAAAATTTATTTTAAAAGTCCCTCCCCGCTTTTTAAAAAGGGTACTCAGATTTGTAATTTTGGTTCATCCTCGAAAGGGAGTAAAAATTTTTTCCGTGACTGAAAAAAAAACCTCTATATGGAGTCCAATGGGTTAGGATCATCATCCGTGGATAAAAATTAATTACAAAACTATGGACTAAAAATGGTAAGGTTAGTAGACAAAATCAATAAAGACTAATATATGTTTCTTTTTTAGGGCAATGTAGCTTTTAAACCCAAATAATTCGGGCAAAACTCTTTTGCGATGTACTAAATACACAAATTTTTATTTTAAATTTTTTTAACTATTAAAATGCGTGTCTTTAGAGGCGAAAATTTTGTTGCGCTTTTTCATTATCCCTCATGTACAGACTCAATCAAACCGAGTCTACAATTTTCATGCAATTTTGCAGTGTTCAGAGCTTCCAAGGAATCACTTTTTTCCAGATATTTATTCTATTTTAGGCTACGATGAACAATTGGAAAATGCAATTGTTTTGGCCAGCAATTCGTCTATAGATTTGAGCTCATCACAAATGATGCTCGTATACACAATTCCAACTATGTCCAATATGAGGCAATTTATCACTTATATCGGTCCTCTTATTGTACAAATTTTCAAAGTAGAGCTGAATCATAACATCTTGACGCTGTGTGAGTTCAAGTTATACGAAAAAGGTAAATATTTGATTAGAATAATACTCGTGGAATCAAACATTTAACTTAAATATTCAGCATATTTATCAGGATGCTTTGCAAGGGATCAGCAGATAATTATTTTTTCAAACGTGCGTTTATATTCATCTCCATCATGTATTCCAAGCTAGCTTTCTTATTTCAAAACCGATTTCTAAAGAGTGAAAGCATTGCAAAGAGTATGATTTTTTTCTTTCCCCGGTTACAACGGTTTAATTAAAAAAAAGCATTTTGTTTTAACATTTGAACCGCGGTTTTGAATCGGTGCAGATTTTCAGCTGAAAATTGATGTGGTGAGAAGTTTCCATGGCTTTTGTCATTTAATAGTTTATTAAAGGCCTTCCGCTGACATTTTTTGAACATTAATATGTACAATGACTTATCAATATTTTCAATTTTGCCGTTTTGCTATTTCTTTAAGGATTATATATTTCTCTATATTTTTGCATGTAACTCAAAATAAATTCACAACTCGCAGATTTGTAAAAATGTCTGGAACTCCTGTGAACGTTACCTTTGCCTTGGTGATTTTTATTCTCGTTTTCTATGATTAAAGCTCGACAATTTTTGATTTTATATAAAATATTTTTGAGGAATTTCTAATCTAGGCTTAATTGGATTTAAGTTGTTGGCTGAAATGCAAATCATTAAATGAATTGTTTCTTTACGTCGTCATGATGTTTTGAGTTGTTCGTGTGTAACGTGCTCCTGTATACTATACTTCAAATTTTATGCAGCTTAGAATTTTAACTTTGAAAGTCCTAATGATATGCTATGCATATATAGACTAGAATCTTAAATTTGTAACCATACATTTAAAGGTATTGCTAAAAAAGTTAAAGACATGTTAAAAAGCGAGTTTTCGGTGAAACGTATAAAACATTTAATAAATTGTGATATGTGACAATGTTTGTGAAATTGACTTGACCACATGTCTAAACTCATTGCAATTATTGCGAATAAAAATGTTTTGACATTTTATGTGCGCTTTTGTACGCCGAAAATGTATTACCCAATATAAAGAATTCTAACACGATGCACATTATGCACGGTGTAATCGATCAGGGTTGACTTCGATTAGTTCCCGTTGTTAAACTGATTTGGATTTTTTGCACCGGACTGATTCAATGGAAGTGAACCGAAGAGGTCAGAATAACTAACGACTCTCTGTAAAAATCAGTTTTCACCTGTTTTCATCAAATAGTATATGACACAACTATCATAACGGAACACTACAGTTGTCAGTTTATCTTCATACACCAATATTTTCAATTAACTGGTTTGCTTTGAAATGTTAAGACGATATTCTTCTAAAAGCAAAATATCAAAATTGACATTGTGTAAAGTCCTCGCATGAATTTCTGAATAAATTCTTTATAATTTGGATTTAGAGCGTAAGTATCTCTATATATGTTGAACGAAATTCAGACGCCAACAGAATAACGGAGTAGTTTTAAAACAAGTCATGTGACTTGAACAAACCCTGGAGGTAACAATAACAGATATTGTGGATATTGTATGATTGAAACAAGTCTATGTCGTTCATTTAACATGTTCTTTTAACATTTCCATTGTTCACTGTGACAACTTTTATCAAATCTTGATTCTCTTATCTGACCCACGTGTGTCAAGTTTTATTCATTATAAGGAGAAAAGATTTGTTCCTGTGACCTGTGTATTTATTTTGAGGACATTTATAGAATTATGAATGAAATAAATTTCACAAAGAAGAAATGAAAATTTTGCCTGTGTCTCTATTTGATATGAACCAATCCAGTGCCCTAATTATTTTCACGGTTTTTATAAAAACGCGTACTTCAAATTCGTTACTGAACAAAACATTTCACTTAAAACACTTGAATTGTTTCAATTATATAATCATGAAATACCTGAAGGATCAAACATAGTAATGACTAATTGGCAAGTTTATGCGCATGTTTATTATGCGTCACTACACGTAAAATTTGTTTTCATGATTCCAACTTAATAAAAACCCTTAAGTATCTTATATTCTTTAAACATTGAAATGTTCCGTGTAAGTAGAATATTTGAAAAATAACAGCTATACATGTGTTAATTTCCAATATTTTATCACCTCGTCAAGCTCCAAATCCATTTTATCTGAAATCAATCTTATGCTATAAATCCAAATTATTTCTGAAAGGGGAAATATTCCAAATCATCCAGGAACGATTTCATACAGTGCTATTCCCCTATCAAATACATAAAAACTGTCAAGTGCATTATTACACGTTATAAGCACAGCACAAAAAAACAAATGCCTGCTGCCCATATAACGTAAAAAAGGCATCATTAAACAAAATGATGTGAGGACGATTACCCTCTTCGCTCACTGTAGTACAGCATGTTTTCATCAATACTTTTTTTGCATGTTAGAATGGAAATAAATATTGATCTTTCTTGCATTGTTGTAATACAATAAAATTGTACATATATTTAGAAAATCACCTCGCAACATACAATTACGAATACATTTGTTTATCTAACCGTGAAAACCTTATGCTAATAATATCATTATTATTGTATAGGCTTTGCTTTTTTCTCAACTTTATAGAATGTGAAAATGGTTATTTTGGAAATAACTGCTCACATCATTGCCATTGCTTGGACAAGAAAGCATGTAACAATGTCATAGGTAAATGCCAGACAGATGAATGTTTGACTGGGTGGCAAGGAGAAGCTTGTGATACAGGTTGGTAATATATAATATGTAGATCTCATTCGTACTTCTCTGTCATCATATCTCATTAAATGTATTTTGTCGGCTCGTCACGGCGAGCCGGTATTACGTTAGGATTTTACTGAGAAACAACCTAAAACTCCGAATCCTTCCAAAAATGTAATCGAAGCTTGGCTTCCAGCTTTCTACAAAATTTATCTATCAGGGCTAGGATACAAAATTATTTAGCCAATCAATTTTGATCTTACATAGCGTCAAAAAACCTTCAATTTTCACGCCATTTTTAAAAAAGCAGCAAGTATTGCTTTGAGCGCAAAGATATAATGATGATTAAAATGTTTGTTTTCATGGATTCTTTTCAATAAATAATATTTACACTGACTTTTGATTTAGGGATTTCACCAGTCCTGTTTTCTCTGTAATAAGTTTTCGTTTGGTTAATTAACATTAACGACATCTGGTTCTGTGCATTTTTTTCTTTTTCCTTTTTTCCGGTCATTTCTTTCCGGTATTTAGTGTATGTATTTACTGGCCGGGATCCGGGACGCCCGGGATCCGCGATCGTATAAGATATAGAGGAAAAAACTAATAAACTATATTTGTGTTGATCATTGTCGTAATGAAAGGCCATTAAACGTTAAGTTTTTTATTGTATGTAATGAACGTTAATGAATTTAACTTAGGATATAGATATATTAAGAGTTATTTATTAACAAAATCACAATAATTATAATTATATGCCTAATTAATTAGAAAAATCAAAGACTATATTCTTGAATTGGTCAAATCCCGGGATCCCTATATGTTTTAATAAGATCCCAGCTTTTCTGAAAACAATATTCTTGAACTGGCCAATTCCTGGGATCTCTTTATATTTTAATACGATCCCGGCTTTTCTGAAAACTATATTCTTGAACTGGTCAATTTCCAGGATCCCATTTTTTTTAATAGAATCCCGACTTTTCTGGCTGAATTGATTGACAACTTGTGTTTACTTTAGGACTTGTGTCTGTCACTCATTCCAATACTAAATAACATATTTCAACTTTACTTCGTATAAAGAGACATCTTTATGAATTCTACTTATCTATTTTTTTTCTGGTCAAGGTCAACAGGCCATATACATGTAGTAAATGTGCATAGACATAGGGACTCTATTCTATCTGTTAACGTGCATCTTCATATATACTCATATTCCTCTTTGTTAAACTGAGAGAACTGGCTTCCATAACTTTATATGTCACTTTTATTTTGATGTTCGCTGAAGTCTCTTCAGCTAACAGAACTGTCATTTTTACATTTAGACACACCCCTGGAAAGAAATTACGAAGCGAGTCGCTACTAGCTTTTTTAAAAGCTAACCTTGTATTTATTTATATCTATATATATATATTTAAATCAATACACAAATCCATCAGAAAAAAATGACCAGTACATCGTAAGGTATTCTTTATTACAATGATAAAACTTGCTAATCATTAAAATTTACTGAATTGAAAATACTTTTTAAACATAGAAAACAGAATTCACAAAGAACGCCAAAAAATGCAATTTTAAAATGTTGCAGTTTAAGTTTGATTCGGTTTGATTAAAACCTTTTCATGGAAGAAAGTGATAATTGCAAGCTACTGTCCATGTTTCCAAGCTACGCCAAAGGCAGATGTCAACATTCTATATAAATCTGTAGAACCACGTGCAAATTATGATATGACGGTAATCGCATATCAATACGACATGTTAGTGTCATTCCATGAAAACGTCGTATAGTCCCCAAGTAAACATATGCGTAAACCCTGAATGAACGAGAAAACAATAAATGGAACTAAATAAATGGAATTTTGATTGATCGTAAGAGGGTATGAAGCCTGCATATCAAACAAGCTTTCATTAGCAAAATTTTAAAAGCAGGCAACATATCCTTAATGTTATTATACCATACGGAAGAAGGAGTAACACCCAACTAGAAAAAAATGTCAAATAGTGGCCTACGACTGTAAGAAAAATGATACTTATGATGAAACTATATAACAATGTTATCCTCAAAAATCGTTTACATATATTTTCATTTTATCATTTTTGTTCCATACTTATCTTCATCTACGAACAAATGATTCCTTTTTGTAACAGAATTTATGTACTCTTAGCTCCATATATTGCTAATATATATTTCTGGAGGTTCTAAATAAAGTGACTGACACTCCACTCCACCAAGGGGTCCTAATGCCTGCCTTACCCCACTTTCTTCGAAATCAATGTGTTTGTTAACCTACAGCATGATGTATTTCAGACGCCATACACTAGTTATTTGTCAGTGTTAACAATTTGTTGTGTAACGTTCAAGGTTTTTAGATCGCTATCATACATAATTTTTCTTACAATTTCCTGTTTCATGATTTGTTTTAAATGATTAGAAATGAATTTTCTATACAATATCGAGAAAAAAAAATCTGCTTTTCCTGTTTATGTCCCTCTACAATTGAATATACAGTTGATTGCATGGGGCATATTGGTACAAAGGCACCTGTACAATATTATTCAATTGTTTTATCTTCCATTATAAGACATCAGTTTCAAATTCAGCCAAAACAGTTTTGGCAACATTTTCAATTTTTCCGTGTTGGGCTTTCTTTAGGGATTCTGTATTTATCTATTTTTATGATCACATCCGTGTTATTTGTGCCGTGTGGCGGCTGTAAAAAGTCTCCCCGTACATTTAATCAATGATGTTATATTTTCGATCCTTGAAGATCGTTCAGCACGACATTATTGTTGTGCTTGTGGTATTTTTAGTTTTAACTTTTCGGCATTTTCTAGTTGGGTGGTTCCAATATTCCTACTTGAATAATGTTGAATCACCCTTAGGATATGTTGCCTGCTTTTTAAATTTGTCTTTTGACGTCTTATATGTGATATGCAGGCTTCATAACCTCAGATCCCCTTTCAAAATTCCATTTTATTTAGTTCCGCCCATTGTTTTCTCGTTTAGGGCACACGCTTTTTATTACTTGGGGGCCATACGCCGCTTTTCATGGAATGGCACGGAAGTGTCACATTGAAGGTTCCATGATAACTGCCGTATGAACACATCTGCGGATGTTTCTAAATTCAAAATTTTACTATGTCATGTTTAAATGTTGAATTCTGCTTAAGCCTGTGCTAGGGGGCGTGGACGGTAACTTGCACTTTCCAGTACCGTCCATGAACAGGCTCAATCAAACCGAGCCTGCAACATTTTCAATTTTGCCGTGTTGGGCTTTCTTTAGGGATTCTGTATTTATCTATTTTTTTGGTTTGATGCATTGTGTTTATAAAAAACGTAACATATATTTCTATTTGCCCCTTGATTTTGGAATAGCGGCAACATATAGGTATCATTTCTTTTGCGTCTGTCTGTCCGTTGCCCTGCTGCTACACAGTTGCTGCTACATGCTACAAAGTAGCCACGATATAAAGTGATTACTTCTCCATCTGTTTGTCTGTCTGTCAGTCAGTCACAAGACTTGTCCGGACTATTAAAAAACAACTGGTGCAATTTCATTCCGAATTTTACCGAATTCTACTAAGCAATCGCCTCTCATATAACCAATCATTGCAAAAGCATATTAATTAGACATGAAGTGCCCAAGAGAATTAATGTTCATTTTGTCATTTGCACATTGTGATTTTTCTTCAGTTTGATGAATTTCCTTTTCAGGCTCTTTTAACTTTTTTGTTATGTACGACTTTCTTTTTTGTAGTCAATGCCCCTCTTTGTGAGAGTATTTTTATACATATTCTATATTTACCAAGATCAGTATCACGATAACCAAGCCAAAAACTCGTTCTCATATTATTAGTGTTAACATATCTACTTTGTCTCTTTAAATACTAACGTCTTTATACCATATATCGTTTTAAGAAGCATCTGCTCTTCGGGGCGATAAAATACCGTACGGGTAGCTCTCAAAACTCCTTGACATTAGATGCGACATAGTTATCTCCATTCACGTCATTCTGACCTCTACTACAAGACTTCAATCCTGGTTTATTCAATCTCACTAGCTTCAAATTTAGAAGATTAAAACTTAATATTGAACAATTGCATTAAAAGGATCTGTTAAATACAAGTTTAAAACATTCAATTGATTAAGCAGATATTTTTAGAAGGTGAATCAAACACTGACATAAAACTGTGAAAGGATACTTTTAAAAGACATTAAGAGATTACAGGGTCTACCCTAAAACATGTACAATTAAAATATATATACATACTTTATTTTCACAATTAGTGCTCAGAAAACAAAATGAACATTTATCTTAATATCCGACAACAATTTTCACGGTGATATTTTCACCTCGGCAGAATGTCGAACCAACGATCTTGGATTTCAAATATATCTTACCATCTCTTGAGATAAGTGGGACAGTTTCCTATCAATGAAGATAAGGGCACGGTTCGTCGTATTGGATTGTTATTTGTCAAAAATACCAGTCGCCCATTTTCATAGTTTTTATATTAGTATATTATTAGCAAATTATTGCTTTTGATAAACGGTTTGTTAAACTCTAATGCTATTTTTATCTTATATAATAATTATATGTATAAAATCATGAAAAAGACCTATGTGATCGAACAGAAACGTTTTTTGTATCGAATTTGTCTTTCTTTTATTATTTTCCCAACTACAGATTGTACATGTATTACAATCCGGTAAAAAAAGATGTTTCATAATATACATTCAAATTTCTAACATGTAAATTTTAGTTTGTGATGTTCGTACATTTGGTGATGGATGTAAAAACACATGCAACTGTTTTAATGGTGCCTCATGTGACAATGTTATTGGAACATGTTTCTCGGGAAAATGTGAACCTGGATGGCTTCTACCGACATGTAGCCAAAGTATGAGTTATATATACATGTGAAATTATATATGTTTTATATACAAACGAGGTTGTACGCACGCCTAAAATGGCTGCGAGGAATGGTCAGCTGTACACTGCATTCCATGAACGTAGAGTGCTGACACGCTCTTAATGGTTTATCTTAATGTCTGATGATCACTATTAAACACTACATAAATCAAACATAATAAACTAATAAGAAAATATTGTATATAATGCGTTTAAGACATCAGACCCGTAGCCAAATCGAACCAAAATAAAAAAGCAAACGTTTAACCTCGATTAACTTTAAAGGCGGTTATAAAAGTTTTGGATCGCACAGCACTATCGCAGTCATCTCAAAGGATAATAAAAATAAAACATTTAAAAACAGATATATATTCAAAATTCCATTGAACTTGTTTTCTAGTTCGTAAAGGTAAACAATGGATAGATTGAAAATTTCAGACATTTTATACAATGTAATGTTAACTGGAAACAATATAAAGTCTTGGTAAACTGTCCTTATTACATAAAATAAGACAGTTGTACAGTCTATTATTTGTATGAGAATCCCTAAAGAAAGCCGAAAACGGCAAAAGTGTTTGTTTTTTTAAGTTTCTTCACAAAAACGTAAGATTTCTCACAAATTAAGTTGTTATCAATTCGTTGTCGTTCAGATATCTATTTATGTTCATAAATATATTGTCGTACAACTTAAAACTAATCGAGTATTCGTATATTTGTACCAAGCAAACCTATTTTTTAGGTTTGAACTAGAATTTTAAATGACAAAAGATGAACAAGTTTGAAATGGACGACAATTATTGATATCAGATCAAGGAGTTCATTTTTATAATTACTTCTTTTTTTATTTATCTACAAACCAGCATGTCAACTTCACAATTTTGGAGATGATTGTAAGAGCACGTGTCATTGTATCAACAAGACAGCTTGTGACCATTCTAGTGGGCATTGTGAGAAAGAATTGTGTGATCCCGGATGGCTATTACCCACGTGTAGCAAAGGTATAATTCTTTTTATTTTGGATATTTCGATGCCACCATAAATATGTCCAGGAAATGATACTTGATTCTGACATGCTTTGAATTCCGACAGGGATATGTAATAATTACATGTTAAATCTCTGACAAGCTTGCTGGTAATCCGTAGTCCCACTCAATCTTACAAGATACACACATGAATAGTTTATGCCAAAGGTAAACCGATGATCTCGCTGAAAGACCTTTATATTGTAAAATTTATTATGTAACACTAATGGAAACAATCTTTTTCAAAATAATTTATGTACGGACATGGCACATCGATGTCATGCCTGGTCAGGAATGTAAAGACTAGTATTAATTTAAGTACCTGTTCGGCAAATAGAATGAAAAGGATGTTGATTAGCTAACTGAAACAAAATGTTATGAGTACATGTCGAATGTAAAATTGTCGTATATTTTATCAATTTATTTAAGACATGTGAATTTTATTTGATTGAGTCCATTTTCTTTTGAGCAGTTATATAAAAAACATTATTAATACTATCAAACTACAAGTGTTAATCCCTGACCCTTACAATTGGCTATGCTTCATATCTATTTAAGAGTGCGGTCATCGTTCATTCGGTCAAAATTGTTCGTCAGTTTGCCATTGTATAAATGACACAAATTGCAATCCTGTTACTGGTGAATGTCATCTTGGTTTTTGTGATCCGGGATGGCAAACTTCGAGCTGTGATAAAAGTAAGCTATAAAACTAAACTAAATAAGGTGTGCTTTTTTTGCTGCATTTTGTATAGAACTTTTATCTTTTCTGCAACGTTTGGTATTACCAAAGTTAAACTTAACAATAGATTTAACTCTTTAGCGCAACACCTGTCAGCAACAACCACAATATTTATCTACAAAGGTTGTTGCTGTACAGATGTTTAATGTAATTGATAACATATGAAATAAGTTTATTGGTTGCTTACTTTAATTTCCTTAATATCAATACCCTTCTGACATTAACATTATTTTGAATACTTACTAATAGTTACCTATTAATCTGGCATTTTGATATGTTGTATCGTTTTTGTTTTTTGTTTTCTTTTATTAAAAATTGTAATAGACTTTTAGACATAATGTTTCCGTGTACTTTGCACTTTTATTATAAATCAGAACTTTTTCAACACGTATCAAGAACCTGTCATTGTTATACACACAATGTATTTTATATATTCTACGTACGATGCTCTTCGTTTGATTCGTCCGGGTTTTCTTATGACAGAAATTGAAATGGTATGAAAGACGCATCACTTATGTATACAAAAAGGTGATACGACGTTTATCTAATGTTATCAATATCAGAGATTAATATACTTTTTTACATGAAGTACAAATCAAAACGTATTTACTGAGCATTGTACATGTATGCGCATATCAACTGACATATCGACCATTTATATAAACCGTTTTATGTTTCATATTGTTATAACATTATGTTCATAACTCTTTCGTTAGGCATCTTTATCATTTACAACTATTATATTAAAGATCTTATCAGTAATTCCTTACATATTTTAGATACCTAGCATCTAAAACTGCACAATTTGATGCATTTGGATTTGCATACATTCACCCATTGAACCGAATTAATGTACAGATAATTTGATTATTTTAAGACATGTGTTACAAAATACAATATGAACAAATTATTACAAAATAAAATGAATCAATTAACACCCGTCCCGTTGACCTATAATTCACCTTAATGAAATAAATTCGGCATATGTGACAACATGCTATGACATATTGTAAGCTAAACGTGTGAAGCACATGATGAAAATAAAAATATACATGTATATATATTATATGTGCATGTATGTTAGTAATTAAAAAGAAAGTCTGAAATTTATGAATATAACAGAAATTGCCAAATAGTGGTGTCTCGCTGTTATCATTTTCAATTCTTTACTATGACACTGTGTGCATATTCTATGGTGTAATGTTTCATTTGTGTAACGTAACGTAACGGAAGTATATTGTTGAGCTAATGTTGATATCCGTTTTAAGATATTTTTAAGATGACATTGTTCAGATTTGAACTCTTGTTTGAATAGTCTATATGTTCTTAGTTATGGATAGAATTAGAACAATATTGTATTTTGTTACTAGAAATGGATAAATTATTTTTCTAGCTTGAAAATACCCCATAGGTAGCCTCTTGAATGGCCAGATGTCCGTAGCATGAAATTTTCTTGTTTTTAATTTGACCAATTATATACATGAACACAATGATGTCCACAAATTATACTAGTTACACAAAATGTTACCCTTACACGCATCAATATCAATTTACATTGAGGATTTTACCAAATTTATTGAAATAAATGTTCAAATATGTGATAAACCTCTGATGTTTGTCAAACATTATCATTTCTTTATACGTTCCTACTTTTACATTTAGTGTTTGAATATCATATTTATAATTTTTACTGGACTTATGTTTCTATATTATTTCACGGTATTCACGTGGTTATCAAACTGGCTGGATGAAATTCTCCAGGATTGGATGATTCTGTGGAAAAAATGCACGTGCTATTTTCGTTATAGAATTATGTACCGTTCTCGGCATAAAATGAAAGCGCAAAACAGTGCCGAAACCCATTCTAGTCGTCTCACATCAAAGGAGAGCTAACGTTGTCGTCTTTTTGAAATTTTGATATTTTGGGGTTGTCAAAATAGCGAAAACTATGTTCTATGTTTTATGTTCAAGGCATGTCACCAGGTCGTAAAAATGAAAAAAATATTTTGACGTATGAATAGACATTAATAGACATGCTGTATACAAATGCGGATCAAGAAGGGGAGGCACGCACATAACCCTAAGTGCCCGTGATTACATGTATCTGAAAAGTTTAATTAACTTACACATTACTTACATAAAATTAGGCAAATCGTTTATGAATGTCAGCTAACTGTATGTACATTGTATGTATCACGCAAACTTACTAGTTTATAAACAATTTTGTTCTTATAATTCATAAAAGTCTGTGAAAAACGAAATAGGGGAGGAAAGGTGTTGCATTCCTCGTTTAAGAGGTTTCACTTTATTAACATCTTATTTGGATAAAATTCCAAAGTCCTGTGGTCATACAAGGTTCTTTCACTACAGGCCTGTCTTATATTAAAGTGTATGATGGACTTTCACATTATTATTTGAATTTTACCTGTACTGTATTAAAAATACAGTACGATCATAACAATGGAATGATGTCATAGTAGTAATATAACAAGCTATTTATTATTTATATATGCTTTTTATACCTCAGGCTCATACAATAAAATTTCATTTAACCTCAAAGTACCTTAACATCGTTTCTTTATAGTTTCGTTTTTGGTCTTTTGTTCCTTCTTTTTCTCACCAGGACTACTTATATGTATGAATGTTCTATGTTATGCATTTTAATGTTTTTCTGTTTCTTAGCCTGCGATCAAAAATAACATAAATCTACCGTCGTTTTAACATTTCAAAATTTGCGCATAATACTGACAAACAAAATTTAAATAAATCGAAATGTCGCTAAATTTTAAAATATTTACTAATAAAACAGACAATCCACTTTTCCACAATCGGAATAAACATACATGATATTTTATTATACATGTATCACAAAATTCTTCCATACGAGTTTTGTATTGATTTCTGCTCTATATAATGCATTTTAATATTTTCTTTGTCTTAGCCTGCGATCACAACTCATTTGGTTTTAACTGCTCATCCACTTGTCATTGTCTAAATAATACAAATTGCAACAGTACTACCGGAGAATGTGATATTGGGCTATGCGATCCTGGTTGGAAAGGACCTAGCTGTGATCAAGGTATCTAAATCATTTCAAAATAGAGAAAAACAAAATCTCTAAAGAATGCCAAAATAGAAAAATGAAAATGTTGGAGACTCGGTCTGATTAGGCCTGGTCATGGACGGTACTGGAAAATGCATGTAACCGTCCACAGTCTCTAGCACCATCTGAAGCAGAACTAAACTTTTAAACATGACAATGTTTAAAATTAATTTCGAAACATCCAGATGTGTTCATACGGCGGTTATCATGAGGGGCTTTTTTTCAAAGTTTGCCTAAATTTTCTTTAAAGTAAATTGGTTAATCTTGTCAAATATTACATACCTTTTCCATGTAGTTTTGATTTTATTACACTATCAAAATATCTATACCGTATTTGTTATTGAATTAGGTATTTTAGCCAATAAATGCCAATATCTATTATATTATTAACATTTAAATAGAGAAAACAGAATCCCCAAAGAAAGCCCAACACTGTTAAATTGAAAATGTTGCAGGCTCGGTTTGATTGAGCCTGTTCATGGACGGTACTGTCAAGTGCAAATTACCGTACACGCCCCTAGCACCGGCTTAAGCAGATTTCAACATTCAACATGAACTGGTACAATTTTGAAATTTGAAACATCCGCAGATGTGTCCATATGGTTTTTATTTCCACGACGGATCTGAGACATACCTAAAATATCAAAATAAAAAAGGGAAAAACAAAAGTTGACTCTTCTTGGGTTTGAACCTATGCCTTTTAGTTTCAATGCAGTTGATAGTAATTCTAGCATGTCTAAAAACTCTTCAAAGCGGAGGGAGTTAAACGACTTTTAAAGTTTCATTTAAAGACTCGGAATCCCAGATATTAAGACGGCGTTTAAACATCAAAAAGTATTCTTTATTTGTGAGAATAACGTTAAGTGCAGTTAAGTGCAAATTTTAAAGTCTCAAATCTGGCTCTCAATGTCCCAGGCTTAAATCTTTCCCCTGTCTTGTTGATGCTTCCAGTAGTTTCTTTGGCGCTAATTCTAATTGTCTAATAGTTTCTTAAGATCTATCTTGGAATGTAGACCTACCTCTATATTTATACATTACTAAGTCTTTAGCTGATAATATCACTTTTTTAACATTTCTGCTGTCTTCGTGCCTTTACAGTAGTCAATCAGAAATGTAATTTAAATTTAAAGAATTTCTGAGGGTCACGTTTTGGCATTTGCACATAAATTGGATTATAGAATTCCAATATTACGCTTTGTTGATTTTACTTGATTATGACATCTTATTGCAAATAAAAAATGATTGCAAGTGACTATAGGTCATTCAACGATAGAAGTAATTAGAGTTGCTTATATCCTTTTTATACGCCCAGGTCGTATTAAGTTTCCGCCCGGGCGGGCAGGCGGCTGGCCGGGCGGCGTCCAGTTTTGTCTCCTACACCCATGGAGATATTTTAATGAAACTTCATACAAATGTTAACCACTATAAGAAAACGTGTCGTTCACATGAAACAGGCCTCTATGTCAAGGTCACACCTAGAGGTCATAGAAAAACACTTGTTCGGAGCAAATCTTCTACATGCAGAGAGGGATTTTAATATAACTTGGCACAAATGTTCACTATTGTGAGACGTGGCGTGCAAAATTAGGTCGCTGCAGCCTCGGTCAAGGCCACACATAGGGATCAAAGTTCAGAAAAAAATTAAATATGTGTATTGGGACAATTTAGTCATAATTAACTGAGGCATTGGAACACAAATGGTCATTATCATGACTACTGGTGTGAAACATGTAATTAAGGTTAATATATGCAAGGTCAAGGTTACTTAAGATGATTGTTAAAGTCACTAAAGATGATAAAATTAGAGATTTTGTCCAGGGCATATAACCTACAAATACAAAGGGATTCTAATGAAACCTCATACAAAGTTTCACCACTATGAGAAACCGTGTCGCGCGCATGAACCAGACCTCTAGGTCAAAGGTCAAGGTCACACTTAGAGGTCATAGAAAAACGCTTGTCCGGAGCAAAACTTCTACATGCATACAAGGATTTCAATATAACTTGGCACAAATGTTTACTATTGTAAGTCGGAATGTCGCGTGCGAAATTTAGGTCCCTGCGGCCAAGGTCAAGGTCACACAATGGGGTCAAATTTCAGATAAAAAAATCATAAGAGATAATAATTTATCCAGATATTTTAAGGATATTGCCCAGAGAATGTCTCCTAAACTTATATGCATATTTATAATGCCCACATTGTAATTATTAAGCTAGGCCATAGTTTATAACAAGTTTTCGTACACATACATATAAACATAAAATGAAATGTTGTAATTTAATTGAATTCAAATTATTACTTTTTTCTCACTATTTTATGAATGTAGTTTTGCAATACATGTAATTTATTGCTGGATTCTGTTTATATCTAACGTCCAGTTATTACTGAAAAAAAAATCAATTGTGTGAATATATGTACTGCATTTTTGAATAAAGAAGCAACAATTGTTTGATTATTTCAGTATGTGATAAGCGTGCCTTTGGATTTAATTGTTCATCAACCAACCTGCCATTGTCTTAACAATACAGATTGCAACAGTGCAACGGGGCGATGTTATTTCGAATTATGCGCCTTTGGTTGGCAAGGTCCAAGATGTGATGAAGGTATTATTGGATCAAAACAATTTAACTGCGAGAACTTTTTTGCTTTATTTCGCTTTTTCCAATCAAATGCAGATTTATTTCATTTATTTTAATTCGGGATAAATAAAAGATATGTTATTACACAATCAAAATGGTTACCAAACTTATTTCCATATAAACTTTCTAGTATATTATCAAAAATGAAATAACTTTTACGTACAAAATAGTAGTTTCATTGCAATAACTGACTAATATCAGTATAGGACATCGTTTCATAACAAATGTTGTTTCACGTAGAACAGAATATTTTGAGACATTTAGATGTGCAGACAGACATGTCATCAGCATTCCTTAACTGGACATCAAATCTCGCAATCGATGGAAACATTGGTCCAAAACCTGACGTTTGCAATTGCTGTAGCGGCACAATGAATATTCCCAAATATCCTGGTGGACAGTTGATTTGGGAAAACGGTATCCTATTAATAGTGTTACTGTGTTCAGTACAGATTCTGGTAAGTTGGAACGTGGTACGTCAGATATGCTTGATAGAAATATAACAATGAACATCATTTTAAATCATAAAAATTAAAATGATAATATTCTGTAAACATATATTTATAATGAACAGTCTTCTGTTTGATAAACATATACTATTCTAATTATATTCATTCTTTGATCTAGTTATTGTTTCCAATTCCGTGTCGTTTTATTGTTGCCTCATAGATCAGTTATATCAGCAACTCGCCGATGTTGAGCTATATCTTGCTAACGATACTGGACAACACTCGTTTCACCTGGTTGGAAATAGCACACGAAGGATTGATGGAAATAAACACGTCCTTACATTTTCAAATAAACTGACAAGATTCATTAAGATTCAGAGACCAGGTGTCCTTACACTGTGCGAAGTGATCGTATCTGAAGGGGGTGAGCATTTTTTGTCTACAATCGAATATATAAGTATAAATCATAGTACTCTAATTACTATTACCATTAAATGAATAATTAAAGCAATTACAATTTCTAGCTTTTTCTAATCAATTCATGTATAATATGTACAAAACATGTTCTATGTTTTGCTTTTTAGAATGTCAGGTGGGGACATTTGGTGAAGAATGCTCCGAGATATGTCACTGTGCTGATGAACGTGCATGTGATAAAACAAGTGGATATTGTCAGTCAGATGCATGTAAATCTGGTTGGATCGGTAAATCATGTAACCAAGGTAGGCTTACAAATGACTAGCGGTGTTAAAAAGTCTAGGTTAAATGTTTTATTCAATTAACAGAACCAAAACTTGTAAAAAAAAAACTCATTATACTATTTCTTCTATTTTGTGAAATTTAAGTATAGGAATTTTAAAATTCAGAAATAAGTACCATCAAAAGTACTTCTATGCATGTATGTATACATTCATTTAAAGCTTTGTTAAATTTAATGCATTACACACATATACACACTCTTTTTATTTACTTAATCAGGAAACAGTATTGATATATCTTTGACCTTTTCGTATATTTAGAATGTCCAAAGAACAGATTTGGTGACCGATGTAGTGAGACTTGTTTTTGTGCTGAAGGTACATGCACTACTAACTATGGGGTTTGTCAGAACGGTTGTCAACAAGGATACACTGGCTCTCTTTGCAATCAAGGTAATTTGATGTAATGTGCTTCTATCAAGAATAGACAACTAAACTCTTAAAAGATGGTTTTGCTTTTTTGTACTTAGAGGAAACCTTCGAAATAGATATGTTTGATCAATGAAATTGTTTGGTAACAAGATATTATATCTACTGTAAATTAACTCAAATCATTTATTTGTAAATAAAGGCCTCCGGCCCAAAATACATCATAAGGTATAACATATAATAAAATGTCAAGTAGTTGTATATTGTGAAACTTAAGTATCATCAATTATATTCATAAGTTGATAGATGTAAATAGATATATTTTTAACAATGTCAGGGTTTTGAGAAGACAAAAGAGCATAGAAATCTTGAAGTTCTGTTCCATGTATATACCAGCTAAATAAATATATTTGTCTAATAGTATCATATTTAACACATTTTTAAAAAGCATGGTACTCACAATCAATTACATTAGCATTATTAAACTGTTGGCAAAAGTTACATATACGATTTTCTTTTATAACATTATTATATCTACCTAATTCAATATTCAGCCTGTGATTTGAAAGGCGAAACTTTGACATAGCAATTCTATATTTTAACTGAATATCCATAGTTAAATATTTTTCAACAGTAAGTAGGCTTTTAAAGTTATTATAATGATCACATCTACTAGAGGATTCAAGAGCTGTTTGCCAGTCTAGTGTACAATAGTTAACAACTCTTTGTTTAAACATGGTAATAAAGGCAATGACATCACCAACATCTTGACTTATCCATATAAAACTGAATCCATATTTATACAAAAGTGTTCTAACTTTGGTTGCCCAGCAGTTTCTACCGGCATCATCTAGAGATTTTAACATGTTATAACATTGCTTTGGATATCTATGTGATGGCATGGTTAACAAATTACACCAATATCGAATACAATTTATAATATGTAGTACATAAAGGCAATCTACCACATTCACCAAGAACCATACATGTATTAGTAGTTCTACGTACATATAAAATACGTTTACAGAATTTATTATGAATAGATTCTATTGTATCTACATATTCATAGCCCCAAATTTGAGATGCATAACAAAGTATCGGTTTGACCATGGAATCAAAAACCTTAAAAGAATCAACAACAGAAAAATAACCAAAAGGTCTTTGATAAGCATTTATGGCAAAGAGAGCTCTTTGCGCCTGAGATATTAACTTAGAATGAGCGGATGACCATGACAATCTTGATGTAAGTAAGATACCCATGTACTTATAATGAGAGGTAATATTGATTTGTGTCCCACGATACGACCAGTGCTCATATCGACGAAGAGGACCTCCATTTCGAAAAACCGTAATTTCAGTCTTATCATATTTATTTCCATCCCAGTATCACAAACAAAAGAGATCAGTAATATTTATTTGCTGTTGAAGCTTAAATGCAGTTTCGGCACACCCTGCTACATCATCTGCAAACATCAAACAAAAAATATCTGGAATATCATTGTGATAAAAAATACCACTCTCACAATTTTCACGTAAAAGGACAGACAACTCATCTATAAAGAGATCAAAAATTGTCGAACTTGTTTTGTCCCCTTGGCGGGTGCCGATATTACACGAGAAAAAATCAGTGACATTGTTATTGAGTTTGACACATGATTCTAAATCGGTATAAAGAGACTTGAGAGTATTCATAAATTGACCGTGAATTCCCTTCTTCTCTAAAGAAACAAATAGTTTATTATGGTTAATTTTATCAAAAGCTTTGCGGAAATCGACGTAGATACAATAAAAACGACCACACGTTTTCGATAGATACTTCTGAACCATTGATTGTAAACAGAAAATATTATCAACAGCTGAATAACCCTTCCGAAAGCCTGCCTGGGATTCATCAATCTTATTATTTTCTTCAGCCCAATCGTATAACCGTTTATTAATGACACCCGAAAATATTTTATACATAGTATTTGTAATAGATATGCCCCTGTAATTTCCAGGAATGTTACTTGGTCCAGACTTGTAAACAGGAGTTATAGCAGACGACTTCCAAGATAATGGAATATTACCAGTTAAAATATATGATTAAACAATGCTAAAAATATTGGAGCTATATCATCCATAGTAGTCTTAAAAAATTCAGCCGGAATACCATCGATGCCACTACATTTACCAACAGATAAGTTTGCTATAGATCTGAGTACCTCATCTAAAGTAAATGGTTCATTAAGAACACTTGCAGAAGGGTCAATATAATTACCAGAAGGTTGATCAATAGCAACAGCATTTTCATCATAAAGAAGTCCTGCAAAGTATTGATACCACTCAGATGGGGAGATACTAATATCTAGAGTTCTTGAAGTTTTACCTCTCTTAAGAATTTTCCAAAAAGAACTTGGATCATTACTACTAGCAAGTAACATGTTTCTATTTGAAAATTGGTATTGCAAAAGCATAATCCGACAATAGTTCTTAAATTCATTGCGCTTATCTTTAAATATTCTGAAATCCCAGCCAGTGAATTAGATTCTCTAAATTTCCTTAGGCGCTCGATATTTATATATTTTAAGATTGTCGCAAGTAGAATTCCACCATGGAGGTTGTGAAGAGAAACGTCCGCTCATAATTTTTGACTAACATACACTGACCAGCTTCGTGGTATAATGAAGTAATTGCCTTAACACTTGTGTTAACCATCATTACAAACCGTATTACTCAAAGAATGAGATATTTTTGCAAAAGTACTTTTTAAAATTATCAATAAAAACTTAGCATGTGAGACTGATTCCATTTATACCTTTTAATGGGGAGTTAAAGTTTCAAACGTCATTACGCCACGCATATTAAGCACAGGCTTTTTTAATCAATGTTTAATTCACATGATATGGGGAAATGATCCGAATCATCTCTATCTAAGACACAGAAATTTCTAATGTAAGGAAATAAATTTTGAGGAGGCTATCATGGTCTACCAAACTAGCACCATCATTAGAAAAGGGAGGTAAAATTGCCATCAATATTCACCTTCAACCTTCCACTTCAAATATATGAATATCGAATAAACAACATAGATTAACTAAAAAAACTAGCCATAGTTATTTCCTCGTTTACTATCTTTACTGCGAACGTGGAGTGTTAAAATAAACTACCCATCATAAGAAACAGTACGCAAAAATATGAACAAATTATCATCAGGTATTTAATCTAAAAAAGTCTTGCACCTACTATTAAATCTCCAGCAATTCAAGACGTATTTGGGTTGTTCAGTAAATATGCATTCAATGTTTGAACTGCATTGAGAAAATACCATCTTTTTTTTGTTCTTTTATTCATCATAATAACGATGAAACCTTCTGGTGATATATATGTTATACATAATAATTCTTCACAGGAAACAATGTAGATAATTCAAATATATATAATACTACAAATTGTCATAAATTTATCATATAAGCGACCGAAAATAAATAATAGGTTTTTTAGTTTTTTGCAAAGATTACTTTTAATAAAACGCTAAACACCTCCGCTATTCTTATTGGAGTTTCGATTTCATATTACGAACAAAGTCAAAATGTAAGGCATAACAATTAATAAAATGTCAAATTCACCTTAAATTTACTCCATGTTTCACAAAGGACTATAATGTCATAATTACTTAAAAAAGAAATTAATTTACTAAATTGTCAATGAAAATTTATAAAGACCGCACACATTCCATGTGATAAAATTTACATCGGTTTTATTGTTTATTTGGGGCCTTGGCCGATTCCTAGAGGTCACGGTCATGTCGTCCGCTTCATGACCGGCTGTTGATTGGTTGAGTGATATACCTTCACTAGTTAAAAGTCTGTTACTCCACGCCCACGCGAAGATGTGATACTACTGTTGTAGTTATTTTGACCTTTGAGAGGCACGGGTATCTGCGTCATCATTTCCGCGACTAATGTCAATCGCTGCAACCCTTGTTTTTCGCGCCCAACACGACACGTGATCTTGAAACTACCAATCCGCTCGACTATTATTGTCTGTGTTGTATTTGTCACATGTCACCCGTCAACAATGGAGCTTTATCGAAGCGAAAGCAGTGATGCATATTTGCCCTGGTTCCTGGCCTCAACTAATGTTTTGGTCAGTTCTCGCCTGTGTATGTACACGTTCAGTGTAATTCTTCACGCAAACTGAATACTGCGATTGCGAGTTAAGACTTGACGAGCCGCAACGCAATACACATTCTCGGTCCTTGTATTTTGCTAAACTTAGCTATAATGGGGAACTATCCGATCGTCTACTGCCTACTCTTATGGGCCCTTTCAATTGTCAACATCTTTCCAATTCAGTTAGGTTAAGTGTATTTGGAAATAAAGTTTCGTACCTTCCGTTCACTTTCCTCCCAGCTCTCAGAAATACCGGCCTTCAACTACAAAATCGTTAAATTATTTCTACGTGAATGTCCTCGCGCCTGTCTAACTTCACAGACAGATTAAAAGTTCCGCTTCATACATACATTTTCTTGGCGTAACTTAACATTTTCACTTTTAAGCACGATTAACTGTTTTATTTATATCATCAATTTTGCTGTTAATGTTCGATAAATCAGTCTTCATCTCAGATTTCATTTCACGTAAAAAAAGCCATTACCTTCAGAATCATTTGCCTTGTTAGCCACGGGCTCGTGGTTGTACTTTGGGACGGGGGTGGTGGTGGCTGTGTTTTCTGTGGCGGATACTTCGGCAAAAGATAATATCCTTTGTTTCGTTGTTTGGGCGGTCCAGGGTTCAGCTCACATCCCCACCCAGTAAGGTTAGCACAGAGAGAAAGATAGCAAGTCTCAAACACACACTAACACTTTGCCGACTCACAAACAAAACACGCAGTTTACATCCTTTCTTAATCGGCATAAAAAACAATCCAATTGGAATGCGGTAAAGTCCTATATCAATTCCCATTTTGAAAATATAAGAGCAGAAAATTACACGTGCGCCATGTTCTAAGGGAGACAACTACTTTATACAGTTGCTGATTTCAAC